CAGTTTTCAACTCGTATTAGAATATAGCACTCATTTGGACTCGTAACGAGTTCAAAACAGCTTCCGACTGTAATAGAAGACATTAGTATTTTTCATCTCGTAACGAGTTTAAAGACTGCCACCCGTGCATAAAGGAGGAAAATCTTCCCCTTGTTCTTCAACTTCCCGTCCATCCATCACCGCTGTTTTACATAAGCTACACATAGCAAAACAACAACTATCGTCGTATGAGGTAATTGTAAATTAACGCGACTTACCAACAAGAATGACAACAACACAAAGCACCTGCTACTAATGTAAACAATAAAAATTCATGACCTAAACCTAAGCCAGGTTTTAACGAAAAATCATCTGAATTTTGCTGATTTGTGTCCGCTGATGATGATACTAAAGAAAAACAAAATAAGTCATAATTCTAAGATTTCTCGCATTGATGATCAGTTTACTGGCTATCGACGGCGTAGATGTGGTTGCATTAGTATTGCATACTAATACACAAAACACACTTGTAGTTGTAGTCACTGATGAGGATGACGACGAAGTACTTGTACTGCTCGTTGATGAGCTCGGACTGGTTGTACTAGCAGTCGTTGATGTAGATGATGCGGAGGATGTCAAAGCACTTGTACTGCTCGTTGATGAGCTCGGACTGGTTGTACTAGCAGTCGTTGATGTAGATGATGCGGAGGATGTCAAAGCACTTGTACTGCTCGATGATGAGCTCGTACCACTAGTCGTTGATGAGGATGATGTCGAAGCACTTGTACTGTCGGTTGATGCTGAAATAGTTGATGAGCTCGTACTGGCTGTACCACTAGCCGTTGATGTAGATGATATCGAGCTAGATGTTGTCGACATACTTGTAGTTCTCGTTGGTGAACGTGTACTAGCTGTGCTGGCGGGGGNCCCCCCCATAATAGAAGACCATCCCGTATTAGAAGACCACTGCCGATTATATGACTTGAAATCTAAATAGAAGACCATGGTCTTCTAAGTCCTAGAAGACCAGTAGTCTTCTATTATGTCCGCAAAAAAAATCGGAAAATGCCCTATACCTACCTATAGGGGAATTTTCAAAAAAATTTCGCCAAAAAGTACTTCTAATAGGGGACGGACTTCAAGTACGTGAAGTTACCGTTGGACTACTAGCACGCGACAAAATTTGAGCGCAACAGAAGACCACCCTTCAGAACTTGACTTGAGAGACAAAATAGAGGACCGGGTGGTCTTCTATTATGGGGGGGGGGGGGGGGGTTTTTTTGTTGTTTTATATTTTAGGGNGCCGGGCGGGGGGGGGGGGGGGGGGGGGGGGGGGGGGGGGGGGGGGGGGGGGGGGGGGGGGGGGGGGGGGGTGTGGGAGGGGGGGGGGGGGGGGGGGGGGGGGGGGGGGGGGGGGGTTGGGGTTTTTGGGGGGGGGGGGGGGGGGGGTGGTTGTTTGTGGGGGGGGGGGGGGGGGGGGTTAGTAGCTGTTGTACTAGTATGAGGTATGCTAGTAGCTGTTGTACTGGTGTGCTAGTATCTGGTGTACTAGTAGCTGTTGTACTTGGATCGGGTACAGTAGTGAGTATAGAGTGTTGACAAAAACGAAGGGCTCTTATCCGGATTATTAACGTCCTTTCATACCCGTTTTAGATGTGGTTGATGTTGAAATAGAAGTTGTTATCAATACAAATAAATCAAAACTGAAGCGTTTATGTGAGGCATACGAAATTCACGAAAACTGAAAATTTGTACATATTCTCTTATATTTCATGGAAATTTGATGGCATAAATCAGAAAAGCAAATTTTTCCAGGATTTTTTCATCTAAAAACGCTTTGTCTTAATAGATTCAGAAGTTGTTGTTGATTCTATTGTTGTTGCGGTTGTGCATATACAAGCACAGTACACATTGATGATGTTGTTGTAGCTAGTCATAAATCAAGAAAACAGATTTTTAATCATAAGTTCAACCTTTCTCCTCTTCACAACATTCTCAATCGAGAATCTTGAGGTTGGTGACCAAAACACACGGAACCAAATCACAAGCTGTACTTGAAGTCGTTGTTGATGTATCATCCCAAATATTTATAACATAATATTTTTTAAATATCAAGTCAAAGTTTATGAACAAGAAGTTCGTCATTTACTCATTGTGGCCCGTTGAACAACAATCAAAGGCAAATTGAACAGTACTACGTAGTACCAACAACAGACTGCTCTAACCAACTAGAAATAACAACAGTTAGAGAAATTTGTTTAAGTAACGACCAAATTTACCATTTAGATGCTTCTTATTTTGTAGGCCTGCTTTTGCGCTTCGTGATGTATTGTATATGTGTCTTCTTAAGTCACCAAAAGCATAATGATGATGAAATCTTACAATATAATTACGTTTTCAATATACATACATTTTAGAAACGAAAACAATAATATTTTCTACCTTTTCTTTTTCGTTTACTCTTTCGAACATTTAGATGCTTATTACAAACTACAAGTTCTTCTTGTATTTTTTAAAATAAGTTAATCCTTCTTTTATGAATGTACAACACAGAGATTACAAAAGAATAAAAACTATCCTCTCATAAAGCCATACTAAAAAGTCTTCTAGGCCCACGAGATTGTCAGAAAATGACGAATGATTTGGAATTTTGTCGAATATTATCTATTCTTTAAGACCACTTTATATGTATATACACATATGTGTATGTATATATCCACTTGGGAAAAAATAGTTTGAGTCTAATTTACAATGAATTAACAAGTAGATGATCAAATAATGATTATGTATTCTTGTAGAAGCGTAGGATGTGACTCCTGGAAATCTGATGCATACATTAGGAATATTTGTCTACAAGTAATTGAAAGTCAGGACTGACAAAGCAGAGGGTAGCAGAGAACTTCAAGCGCTACCAATCATTATTTTGTTATCTGCTTATTAATTCATAGTAAATTAGACTCAAACTACTTTTTCGCAGGTGGGTATATATATAAAGTGGTCCCTGTCATACCAAATCCAATATTCTCAACAAGTGTTTCTGCTTTAATAATACTATGGGCATCCAGATACACTATTTTTCAGGCCATTACTGAGGCAATATATTAAATATTTGCTCAGCTGTTTCAAAATATTCAATATCTCGTTAACAAAAAGCATCCTGAAATGTGGATTTATAGATTACATCGATGGAAAATTCAATGAGCACATTGAAATAAAAATCTATGTTTTGAACTTGCGATACAATTTTCTGAGTAGATAATATTCGACAAAATTCCAAATCATTCGTCATTTTCTGACAATCTCGTGGGCCTAGAAGACTTTTTAGTATGGCTTTATGAGAGGATAGTTTTTATTCTTTTGTAATCTCTGTGTTGTACATTCATAAAAGAAGGATTAACTTATTTTAAAAAATACAAGAAGAACTTGTAGTTTGTAATAAGCATCTAAATGTTCGAAAGAGTAAACGAAAAAGAAAAGGTAGAAAATATTATTGTTTTCGTTTCTAAAATGTATGTATATTGAAAACGTAATTATATTGTAAGATTTCATCATCATTATGCTTTTGGTGACTTAAGAAGACACGTACAATACATAATACCTCTGGTCGCATCACAAACGCTCAATGCTGAAAGTTTCAGACTTTTGACTGATCAGGATTGCGAGTTATTATTTAATTATTATTACATTTTCACTAATTGACTCATATCTCGTCAGAAAAGTGCATGGGCCCAAAATCCTTTGCAGATTATTCATAACTAGAAACAATTTTAATTGCTTGGCGATATTCCCTCATTAGTTGAAGAAGCATAGAATATGACTTCTGGAAGTGTGATACGTGCGTACATTAAAAGTATTCAAGATATTCGTCAACAAATAATTGAAGGTCACGCTAACAAAAGAGTGGTTAGCAGGTAACTTGAAGCGCTACCAGAATACATAACCATTATTTTGTCATATACTTGTTAATTCATAGTAAATTAGACTAAAACTACTTTTTTCCAGGTTTTCATACTTCTTGATTTTCATAAACGATTTGAATGAGAAATTTCCTTCTACAGTGATCGCATCGCTGTTTGCTGACGATGTTTTTGGTTTAATTCCTCTTCAAAATTTTAACGATCTCTCAGAAGTTCAAAAGTTTTTAGATATCATGTCCGATTGGTGTGTAAAACATGAGATCGATTTAAATACAGAAAAATGTTTTTATATGCCATTTTCCAATCTTAAACTTCCTGATCAATATCCTCCACTTTATGTTTCTGGAAAACCGCTTTTATTAGATAAAAACATTAAATTGTTAGGCGTGTATCTTTCACCAAATTTCACTTTGGAAGTAGCATCTAGAAAATATCAAAAAGATGTAGACAAATGCTAGGCGCGATGAACAGAGTTTTCAAGTGTGCGCCACAGTTCATACGTCTTCATATTTACAAAATGTGTATATTACCAGTAATGGACTATTGTTGCATTGTTTTCGACAACGATTTTAAAACGCATTTAGATCTACTAACATCTGTACATAAGCTAGCTGCACGAATGATCTGTGCACGTGTTACATCAGTAAACTATCTCATGAACTACCAGACCACACCCAATGAAACTCAATGTTTAGGGGTTTCGTGAGGTTCTCTTTGTTTCGCCGCTAGAAAGTTTTCTTGAAAATCCTCGGAAGTAGGAGTCGCGGTTTCTGAGCTATAGTAGTTGAATTAAAAGTAGTTGAAAAATCACCGTTAGGATATGGAACATTTTAAGTAACATATTCGGATTCAGCATCGAAAGGCGAACATTTTGAAAGAAAAACTAAGGCTTCAAGTCAAAATTTCGGTTTTTCAATTTAATTTAAAATTTAAAAAATTCAACTTTTTTTCAAGTGAATGTAGCTCAACTCAGCTAAGAGATGGAGGCTCGGTAAAGGACATACAGCTTAGTATGGAAGACTCACTAATCTATACAAAAACACTTAGTCTTCGATTTTGGGCGTGAACGAAGTGAACGCCCAACGGTGCTAGTTTTGCGTCTTTATATGAGTATATGTGTTATTTTAGTTCCCTCCATTGAAATTCTCCATTGAATGGTATATGTATCGTCGGGGCTAGTTAGCAAGTGTGGACCACAGGATCGTCATCGTTGAATAAATCACCCACTTGCCACTCCTCTGCATAAAGTATTTCTAATGTCAAGGTGCCCTGGGACACTTTTTTCCCTACTTTATATATATGAAATTGTAGTGGTAGAAATTCTCTATCGTTTGGTATATGTATTGTGTGTGGACCACGGGATCGTCACCGTTGAACATAAATTTGACCGAGTTTTTTCTGAGAGCAACTCTAAGGTCTGCCAAGTGGTTAGAAATGTTTTCCTGTTCATTCTGCATCTAACCATGTATGTGTCGATGGAATTCAATCAGGAGCCGACTGCATCAAATAATCACCCTCGTCCTTTCGGCATAGATAAACGCTTCTCAATTAAACTAATACTTGTTCTTCCTGCGTAATTCTTTACTGTCTCTATGTGTTTAACCATTAGGTCCGTATTTGTAAAAAAAAATATCCTTAGAGTATTTCCTAGAGAATTTATTGCTAGATAACTAGCCAGAATGTAGCAGCCATATTTTATGAGTGTTACCTAGTATCATGATATTCCCGATGAACTATCGATAAAATCTGACTTGCATATCAGAAGAATCAGTAAGTAGCACAAAGCATGCTATTTATTAAGCAATCTGCCTGGTACATTACATGTCTTTATTTCTCTTCGCTCAATCTTAACTAGAGGTGGCACTTTACCTTTACTTTACTTGTAACTAGTAACGAACTTAGTTACTCGTTACTGGTAACGAGAAACTAAGTCCGTTACTATTTGCTAAGTAACTAATTTCGTTACCATACCTGATAAAGTAACGATTTTTCGTTACTTTCTGCAGGAGTAACGAAAGTAACGAAGTAACGAAATTAGTTACTGATTACTCGTTAGTAACGAGTAACTAATATAGTTATT